TTAGTTTTTATGAACTAAGTTTTCTAATGAGTTGAAGATAAATTTTAATGGAAAAAAGTCTATTACCAGTTTGGATAATCTGTAAATATATGGACAGATATTGAATCTTTTCATTTCAAATACACTCCTCGCAAAAATTAAGGGAACAAAAAAATTTGTCAAATTTTTGCTGATTTTCAACAGGCGGTATTTCAGTGAGAAATGGTCGTACAGGAAATAAAAAAATAAAGCTGTTGAATCTTGAAGACTCTAGCTTTTAATTTTTTTGGTTAAAAATTTTTTGGAGCTCCGTATTTCATGCAATCCTTATACAAAGCGCAAAAAAAATTTTATCCAAATTTTTTATATTTTGTTTCTTACACTACGGGCATGGAAAAATTTGTTCAAGCTACGCCAATACATAGGTCTTTTAGCCTGTTTATTCAGCTTCATGTTGCTTTTCGCGGAGCTCAATTACGATCATTTGTCTCCGAGATATCGAACTTTGAATGCAAAAGGATCCTTTTGCATCCAAAATTCGATATCTCTGGAACTACTGGTCGCACAGCGAGCGGACACCGAATTTCATCATCTGCATAAAATTTCCGATGAAATACAGTCAAACGTTAGTAAAGAGAAAAATTTTTTTTCATCTCTAACATTGAATTGAAAAAAGTGAAAAAAAGTGACATTTTCCCCTTTTTTGGTTACTTGACTGTATCTTAAGTAATATGGGCGGAAAAGGTACGGTTAAAAAGAAAGGACCCCGCAGAATCCTTATGGGAAATGGCTTTCGGTCAAATTTTCTGAAACTTTGGAAAATGATAGTTCTTGGCACGTAGAACAAGAGTTCTCATGGGTCCAAACCATGAAATCCATTTTTTCTCGAGCTACAGCCCCTCAAAGTCAACCCCTTTCGCGCATATGCTGTATAGCGAGGTAACCAAGTATTGTTCTGATTGGATATAATATATGCATATACACATGTAGTTTGAGTACATACAAGCAGTATATATATATATATATATATATATATATATATATATATATATATATATATATACACATATATATATCCCATCTTCGATATATTAATCATTAGTGCTACCATTTTTTGGGGGGGTAGAGCTGACGATCTCACGGCTTCTTCTGTTCGGGTTCCGGCTTATCTGGTAGTCCTTTTCAGGGCAACAGTCAAGTTATCTGAGCGGATTTCTACAAGCTACCGTGGTATAGTTGGTCCTGCTGTTCTTTTGGGGATAGTAGACCTGACGATCTCACGACTCCTTCCGTTCGGGTTCCGGCTTATCTGGTAGTCCTTTTCAGGGCAACAGTCAAGTCATCTGAGCGGATTTCTACAAGCTACCGTGGTATAGTTGGTCCTGCTGTTCTTTTGGGGATAGTGGACCTGACGATATTACGGTTATTTGTGAGTTTCTTTTTTTCCCTGCCAGTAATCATATAATAGTTTTAAAAAAATGCGGTGCTATGTATGTAATAGAGAGTTCAACCCACGGGTTTTGGCATTCATGAATGGTGACGACAATGCTAATAAACGTCAAATAGCTATAACTAGACGAGATGAGCTTGACCATCCTCCAGAAGTTCTGGATCAGAATTCAAGGATCTGCATCAATTGCAATCGCATGATCATTGAAGAAATAAATATGATGGATGCTGATCCTGGATCTTTGCGACTGAATGTTGTCACGCAAACAGCATCTCAGACTTGTATCATTTGTAATAACCCAAATGAGATTCATAGATTATCATTAGATTGTCGGATTCAGGTATTTATAAAACGCAATATTTATATACCAGATAATGTGCGCAGTTGTGCGCATCACCTTGATAATGATGGCTTATTTTTCAATATTCTTTTGTTAGGTTTACAGTTCATCAACAGACCTTACATTATCAGAGGACAGCAGTTACAAGTCTTTCTTCAAGGACTTAGGAACGTCGCACTTGATAGGGGAACAGGTATAGACTACGATAAGTTGACTGATGAGGAGTTTGAGTGTTTGTCCCCAATCAATAAACAACAGTTTAAAGAACTCCTAACTTACTGTGATCTTGTTGTTCAAAATGGAAAGTTGAGGCACGTCGGCAGGACAGATTTATTGATATTCTTATGCAAAATGAGGCAAGGCCTGAGCGATGAGTTTTTGAAAGTCATTTTCAACCAATCAAGTAGGCAAAATGTTAGTTCTATCATTGATTATGTCAGGTCCTCGTTGCTACTAAGATTTGTTCCAGAAAATATCGGGCCTGAATCTATAACTAGGGAGCAATTCGTACATCAACATATAACAGAGTTTGCAAATGAACTCTACAACCCTGAACCTGCAGAAAGAAGAGCAATAGCCGTGATTGACAGTACGTATACCTACATTCATAGAAGCTCAAACTTCCGCGTGTTACGACAGTCATACTCTCTTCACAAAAACCGTCACCTTTTGAAACCAACCCTAGTAGTAGCGCCGGATGGTTATATCCTAACCATTTTCGCTTTATATTTTTCAGATGCTCGAAATAACGATGCCGAAATTCTTCGCGAAGAGTTCGAGAGAGATGCTGATGCTTTGGCAAACTGGTTCCAAAATAGTGACATTGTTTTAGTGGACAGGGGCTATCGCGATGCTGTACCTTTGCAACGTCTCGGTATTAAACACAGAATGCCTGCTCTATTGCAATACGGGTAAAGACAGCTTATGACTGTAGATGCAAATGATTCCAGGATCGTAACGAAAAATCGCTGGGTAGTTGAAGCACGTAATGGTCATATAAGAAATATTTTTAAGTTTCTGGCCCAGACAATAAATCTGGAGCACGCGAAGCATCTTAATGCCTATTATCGTATAGCTGGAGCTATCATTAATAGATACCACCCTGTTCTTATAATGCAAGGTGCAGATGCTGCACAGGCCAGAGAGATCATTCGAAGATCAAGGATGCCCAATGTTGTGCAAGCGAAAGTAGAGGTAGACAACTTAGTTCGGAGAAATGGCTAGTGGCGAAGATTGAACCAGGAAGCTGTGGTAGATTTTTCAATATTTGATTTGGACTACCTTAGAGATCTGACTATCGGCACTTACCAAGTGAATCTTTCACCTTCATATGTTCAAGATAAAGTAGTAAGGGATAACGATGAGGAATTTCAGCTTGATCAAAATATCAATGAGCCAAGATTCTTGCGTATACGTTTGTATTCAAGATTCCGCAACGCTACCAGGCACCAGATTTTTATATCATATGTAGTCCAAGATTTAGACAATGAAGATCGTCAGAATGACGAAGATACAATTCTGGGCTACTATTGCACTTGTCAAAGTGGGGCACGTACTCTAGGTACATGTGCACACGTTGCTAGTGTATTGTGGTATTTAGGATATGCACGGCATCAAGAAAATATTAGATACCCTGATGATTCATTACTGAATACTACATCCGATGCTGCGAACCGAGGTAATCAGCATAATGAAATAGACATAGTGGGTGAATAACTATGGATAAAAAACTAGACACGTCCGTGTTCTTTTTTTTTTTTTTTAAGAAACGCACACACCGACCACCTATATGTACAGTATATATTGTCCGTTTCTTTAGGTGGAGAAAGCGTTTGAAAACTCCACCTCTTAGCCTTGATTCCCTGCAGAACCGACGTTAGTCATTACATCACGGGGGAGGCCGCACTGAAACCTCATTGATACCAACCTATATGTATCGGCGAACACCCAGTGGGAGAGGTAGCAGTTTTGCCATAGTGCAGGGGCGACACTTAGACTTGTGGAAGTTCGTCATCCCCGAGGCACCCTCAGTCGAGATGTCTTCGGCAAAAACCGCAGCCCAGGTCGGGATTCGAACCCACGACCCTGAGATCGTGAGCCCGGCACTCTACCAACAGGCCACAGCTGTCCTTTGTGTGCGTGTGTGTGTGTGTGTGGGTGTGTGTGTATATATATATATATATATATAAGCTTGTATGTACTCAGACTTCATGTGTATAAGTATATATGTATGAATATATGCATATATTACATCCAATCAGAACAATACTTGTTTACCTAGCTATACAGCATATGCGTGAAAGGGGTTGACTTTGAGGGGCTGTAGCTCGAGAAAAAATGGATTTCATGGTTTGGACCCATGAGAACTTTTGTTCTACGTGCCAAGAACTATCATTTCCCAAAGTTTCAGAAAATTTGACCGAAAGCCATTTCCTATAAGGATTCTGTGGGGTCCTTTACAATATAATGTCCTCCAAAGAACCCTCTAAATTTTTGGACCGATCGGTTCAGCGGTTTTTCCGGACCAATTGATCAAAATTTATAAAAAATTAAAGGAACAAGGTTTTTGTTCCTTAACTTGAAGCAAACTTTTTAAAAATCAAAAAATTCCATTTTTTTTTGTCTGTTTACGATTAATTTTGAAAAAAATTGAAAACAAAAACATTTTTTTTCAAAAATAAAAAAAAATATTTCAAAAATCTAAAAAAATTTTTCAAAAAAAAATGTTTCAACAATCAAAAAAATGTTTCGAAAATCAAAAAAAAAATTTTTTTCAATTTTTCCACTGACTATAAAATATGGTTCTTTAGCCATCGTGATTAATGACTGATTTACCCTTCAATGCCAGGCGTTATATCGATCAGATTTTGAGACCTCATGTGTTACCAATATGGAGAAACGCGAGAAGATTCATTCTTATGCAGGATAACGCAAGGCCTCATACGGCGAACATCACTCGTCGATTCTTGGAGAGAAACGGCATTCCTTTGTTTTTTAAGTTTGGAGCACAAAAGAACAATAGATGCATGAAAAGAAAAATTTTTTTATTTATGTCTTCATGGTGCCGGTTAGAATAGGTTAGATGGTTAGAGGTTAGATTCTTAAAATAGTCTTTTAATGTGAACTTCTTTACAAACAAATAATAATCTAATGAAACTATTAACAATTTATTAGTGTATACTATTGAATTGATTCAATTTTATTCTTCAATATAATATTTTATTATTTCAGACCTGTTGGAGTTTGGGGAAAAATTGTTGGGTCCTTATGTGCGATTGCAGGTGTTTTAACAATTGCACTACCAGTGCCAGTAATTGTTTCAAATTTCAACTATTTCTACCATAGAGAGACTGATCAAGAGGAAATGCAGTCACAAAACTTTAATCATGTGACTAGTTGTCCATATCTTCCCGGAACGTTAGGTATGTATTGTGCATAAGAATCTGATCTGAATAATTAAATTCAGTTACTCTTGACTTTTTTTAATTTTTGGAATTAATAGAAAAACATCAGATTTAAAAACTAATTTAGGAGAAAGTAGAAATTTTAAAAGTATGCTATGGAGGATATGGAAAATGAAGATATATCCTTATCTAGTACCCAGTTCTTAATGCTAATCATGGTGCAATAAAATACCTAATAAGTGTAACGATTAATTTGATTTTCAACTGCATGTAGAGCAAAATAATGTTTAATATAAAAAGACAATTATAAATAACCATACATTAGGCTAATTAGACTTGACTGAAAGTAATTTAAATTATGTACTACTTTTAAAGAGCCCAGCCGGGTAAGCATGTGAAAAGTGCCCTTAGACCTTTCGAAAAAGTGACAAAGCCAATGTTCCGGCTTATAATGAAACCCCCTCTGCCAAATTTTCATACCCATATTGACCCATAGGGCAAAATGGGACACTATTTTGTGGTTTTAGGTTTTTTGACAATAGCTCGGTTGGTTTTGAAGATACCTAAAAACTGTAAATTCAAAAGTTGTAGGGTTTTTGAAGAGCTACAAATCTATAAACACCAAATTTTTTTTAGAAGCAATTTTTAAAAGCATTCGAAAATTCCAATTTAACGCCAATTTTGTCCATTCATACCTGCAACTCCGAAAAAAATCTTGAATGTTTCTCATAGATAGGAGTACATGTGTAAATTTTTTCAGATTTTTATAGGTGGTAGAAGGTACCTAAAAAAATAAAAACCACTAAAAACGAATAAAAAATCCATTTTTTTCGATTCTAGCTCTTTTTGGTTTCATTCCACGATAAAATCAATAGCGCCATCGTATTCTACGTTAAAAAATACGTCGAAAACATGCATAACACTTTTATCATCAGACCCATTACACCCTAAGAAAACGACGACTAAACTCCCAATCTTAGCCTGCCCACATGTAATACATGGAAAATCGAAGGTCGCACGTTTCATTGTCGATTTTTCATTACGCGGTAGAGCTAACGATGAAAGTATGATACATGTTTTCGACGTATTTTTTAACGTAAACACAATGGTGTAACTGGTTTTATGGTAGGCCTAATCCCGAAAACGATAAAAGCGAAAAACTAGTGGAAAGCAGCTGCTTTCCAGTAGTTTTTCGATATTTTTTTGACTATAGCACTTTTCAATTACATTCTACGATAAACTCAATCGCGCCATCGGGTTCTACGTTCAAAAATACATCAGAAACATACATCATACCTTTATTATTAGTATCATTATACGACGAGAAATCGACTATTAATCTCTGAAACACCGTTGAAAGGCTGAACCCAATATTATTATATTCCTGGCTACACGCATGACTTATGTTTACTACTCGTACCTTCATAATGATAAAAAAATATTATTTCCCTGTTCACGACGAAGTGCTAAATATTTTAGGATGTTCTTTGTGAAAAAAATCTGTAGGATTTTTCATCAGATTTTTGCACTATTTGGTACTGCGGCACTGTTGAATAAACCACGTAGTTTTAAAATCCCTATTACTTACTTTTATTTTGCACCCGAATCTGTCGAAGCTGTAAAGACCAAAAAAGTGTATTTCCTTATTTGGGAGTAAAATCTATGTAGTGTAAAAACATATTTGCTTCAGAATTTATATTTATAAAATCTTTAATTTATAATGAACTAATAATCTACATACATAATATAAATAATTATTTACATATCTGAATACTTTATACATTGCGCTCTCTGCTTTATAATCATCCCTCGTGAATAATATAATATCAAAACTCATTGCATGTTACGTACTTTTGCTAAAGGGAAGTAACGTCTATTCAATGTATCTAAACATTTAAATCTATAAACAAATAAATATCAGTGTTGAACAATCAATCTTCGTCGCTGTCGTCGTTGATGACGGGTGATACTTTTTCAACGGCAAAAATAGAGCTCAAGATTTCTGCAGGCTTTACTATTTTGGAAAGATATCTACCATGCGAAAGGTAATAAATAACAGCAGCAATGTGAGCACAGCAACCAATAGTGCGGTTACCATTTGCGCATTCGCAGTAGTGTCTCCTAATGACCTGATAGCCTATAGAATTTGGTCGGTAGTGTATGTAAGAATTATATGTTTTTCGACTGACGTGCCTCGATCTCACTTGGACTTTCAGAATTTCATTTGTTTCTTTTAAATAGTAAAGTTCAATTTTGTTATCTTCGTCCATCATTTCTGCCAGGTAAGATATGGACTGTTGCAATTGATACGTCCCAGTGAAAAATATTTTTAAATCTCTTTCTGTCAATTCTGGAAAGTCTATCAGTTGATCTGATGTTATTAACTGGAAAGGTATTTTTCTCCTACTCCAGTGACCAGTTTCAACTTCTGAAGCTAAAGTATTCTCCAAATTTCTCTGTTCAATCATACGCGAGACTATTTCATCTGTTAAAGATGGGTCAGTTATAAAACGCTTTCCAAACTTGTTCTGTAAAAAACAAGCTACTTTGCAATAGAGACCAGCTTTCGGCAACATTGTGTTGTAGAACTTATGTCGAAGCAATTTGTATTTATTCCCAATGACACCATGTACCACTTCAACTGGCCAACGTATAGCAGTAACAGAACGACTGTGGTTAGATTCTTCTGCTGTTAACTGATTACGTTTACCTTTAAGTGCTGGCATTAAAACTTTGAATCCTAATGTTTCAAGTTTCTCTTTAACGTCACGAAAGCCTTTATCAACGACCCATAGATCATTTTTTTGCATTAACTTTCGCAAACCGTTAGGATCTTGCATCAAACATTCCATTATTTGAGCATCGTTGAGATTAGCCTCAAATGGACCTGCAGAGTCAACAATATACCCATCTAAAGTACATATTGTGAATGGCTTGCACAATGGTACTTTTTTTCGTCCGGAAAAAGACTTTCTTTGATAGTTATTATTCGAACTTTTTTCGTGTCGAAGGTAAGTTCCATCCGCAATTAATGCCAATTCATTATCTTTGATGTCATGTAGTGCTTTAGCAACTGGAGTATTATGGTTTATTAACTCTTCTCTACTGATCACTCCTATTCCAAAACCTGTAGGTAGTACATCTTTTTCAAAAGATGTCAATATGGAATTACAAAAATCAGATACTTGTTGATCACGCTCGAGTCCTAGAACGGCGCAAATAATTTTGTTCGAATTACCACTGACCAATTTAAACAACAGAACGACTAAAGCTTGTGTCACATTCCGAGAGACTGAATCTCTTAAAGATGTCATCATATCACGTAATTCAATTATGTTTTCCCAAGTCAACCCAGTCAGTACTATTAACCGTTCCTCCGGAAAAGTGAAATCTCCAAATTTATCATGAATTTCAGCATCTACCGTAACTGATAACTATTCCAACAGTTTTGATAACTCTGTTACGGTAATTGTGCTAGTTGATGAATGAACTTTAATATTATCCAATTCATCTTGATAAAAACGGTTTTTAATAAGATGTTTACGACAACATCTATTACCAGCTGGTATATATATTCTGTTATGAGCGTAGACTTGCATGCGAGCTTCAACTGGAACTTGAATTATTCCCGAAAGCAGCTTACATAAGAAACAATATGCATGAGTACATATTGTTCTCTCAATCGGCATCTCAATTAGTTCTACCGGTTCTTGTGGTTTTGGTTCTGGATATACAACTTGTGACCCATCCATGGATGATGATTGCGATGATGATGCGAGTTGAGAGTCAATAGAAGATTCAGGAGTTTCTTGTTTAGATGGATCTTGCTTGCTCTTCTGATGTGAAACTAATCGAATAACATTTTGAACATAATTCCACATTCATATCTACGTTTTTCCCAAACGCTTGAAGAAAATTTGATAAGTCGTCCTCTGTATCCAATGTTTTTATGTATCCAGAAGCTTTGTGTAAATATATATCGCATCCTGCACACTTCTGATATTTTTTTCTTTTAATTTCTTCTTCCATAGTTCCCTGTAATAATAAGAGATTTAAGTTACAAACTATGAGAAAACATTCTAATGCGAAAGTTTAAAATGTAAAATTATTCAAAGAATCTCGTTTTCATGAAAATACTATGCGAGAAAAAATGATCTATAAGTAAAACGTCTGAAGTTTCATTTGATTTCAAGCAATCTTATAACTATAAAAATAAAGATTGGGCTCGTTACAATCCATTATATAAAAATATAATAGCCGCGAAGCTGCGACAGCGCCAGACTCTTATTACAATAAAATGACAATACCGGGCTTCTTTGAAAATCATTTAATTTTTTTCTTTCTTTTACGGGCACGAAATCCATGTTTTCGAAAGTCAAATTGATAGCTTAGACCTATTAGCCAGAAAAGTAGTTTTAGAAAGTTATTTATGTCAGAAGATATTTACAGATGTGCTAATTTTTTCGTGAGATCAGATTTTTGTCTCTTACTATATAGTATATGTCTCGTATTTTTCACGTATTGTAAGTCCATTCATATGATCGCGTATGAGCTGCGTGCCGCATAACGTAATCTACAAATATATGCTTCTCATGCAGATTAAATAGCTGTTTGTTTTATATGCGACCTGAAGAGCTTTCTCGCATGAACTGTTTCGCCTGTGTGTGTGTGTGTGTGTACGGGGGAGGGAGGTTCGTTTTGTACTAATAGTAGTGTACTAATAGTACTTAAGGCTCTGTTGCCGTTACCGACTGAGCAAAATAAGTTATTCAAAGTTTTCTCTTAAACAAATAAATGAATCAAGCTGAAACTTTTTAGGGACATTCATTGTGCATAAGCGAAGGGAGCTCAACTCTTTATTTCATGAAAATTTCCATAGAAATCGAGAAAAGAAATAAAAACTAGAAGTAGTTTTCCCTTTTTTTCCATCGATTTCCATGGAAATTTTCATGAAAAGAAGAGTTGAGCACCCTTTGCTTATGCACAATGAATGTTCCTAAAAAGTTTCAGCTTGATTC